CATCGGTCACACGATTAGATTGAATGTTTTCACACTGTAACGCACAAAAACATAAAACTACTTAATACAATCATTAGGTAAATATCATTGATTGTTAACGGGATAAAAAGCAGTCGACAGTTTGAAGAGTAACGCTTAAACCCAACATCATGACTACATTCCGAACACTACACGTTGGGCAGAGTGTAATCAAAATACAAGAAAGGAACAGTTAATATTCCGACTTTCTAAATCAGTGTTAAATCTTTGTCTTTCTTCAGTTGTTATATTTAAAAAAGTGCCAATTTATTATGGTGCTAAAAGTGTGAAATATGTTCAGCGGAATGAACCTCGGATTATTTGATCCGCAGCTAGCACGTACCACTAGGCCTGTCCCATTAGTTTAAAAGATGGATATTCTAATGCTCATGTTTTGTGAGACATCTTGGTATCACATGACAGTTCAGACAGCCTCTAGACACGTTCACGTTAATATAATTATTATAACTAACGTATGGAAATGATTATAAGATACTTACTTGCAGAACCACACATCTGACACTCATCAGAAATCCGCCTTTTATGAAGACCATCTGCTCTCGTGAAACAGACGCATGTTCATATTCACAGAGATAAATATACGATTTAGCTTATAATTTCAAGTTTAATAAGGTACTTTATTAAGAAATTCTAAAAACAAGGATACTAACGTGCACAGGGTGGCTACTACAAAGAGTCCACTGTTAGTAATCATACAGAAGGTTAATGACACCCAGAACCCGATTTTTGGTGTCATTTTGAATAATATCATGTAAATTCCAAATACGAAAATCCTTCTCCAAATTATCTATTATTATAATTTCCATGATTTCATTGAATGCTGGTGCTCAAAGTTTCATATACTAGAAATGATGCTCTTATTGAAACAATTCCATCAAAGCGGTAAACTTATAAGCAAGAGTTTAGTCATGGGAAGTAATCAATTTCTCTAGACAACAATAAAACGTAAGTATTTATTTTAATTCTGTCAGTTTGTACTAAATACATTTGTAATGTTTTAATAATGGAACTAAATTCTGAGCGAGTGAAGATAGCGAAGTTTTTGTGGGCTTTTATGTGCAATCTGACGTGACAATAAATGTTCGCCCCCGTGACTCAAACGTCCGTCCGTCTGCGTGCTTACAACTTTAAAACTCGAGTAGTTACGTGCTCAATATCAAACAACACAATAATGTGATGTTTTAACAAGAAATAGGCAAGTACTTTTTATGATTGTTTATTTCAAATGTTCTCGGAAAGCTACACAAGGGTTCTCTGAGCTAACTTTCCCTGAAAGCTACACAAGGGTTCTCTGAGCTAACTTTCCCTGAAAGCTACACAAGGGTTCTCTGAGCTAACTTTCCCTGAAAGCTACACAAGGGTTCTCTGAGCTAACTTTCCCTACGGAAAGCTACACAAGGGTTCTCTGAGCTAACTTTCCCTACGGAAAGCTACACAAGGGTTCTCTGAGCTAACTATCCCTGAA